AAAAAATTATTTCTTTTATATTATTCCTTTCACGCATAATAAAATTATTTCTTTTATATTATTTCTTTAACGCATAATAGAAATGTATTATTCCTTTTTTTTAACGCATTATAAAAATAATTATTCCTTTACTTAAATGCATAATGAAAATACATCATAATTTTACTTAAATATATGATGCATATATTTGCTGTCATAATATTTACGATTACATACTGCTACATTTTTACGTTTTTTAAATTTTAATCTTGGCGTGGCAAATTTTTTATACAATTTTGTACGCAAATAGTGACAATTTGGAATGTGATTTACTGGAATAGCATTAAATTTTTCTAACATAAAGTTTTGTAAATTTACATTAGGCATCATATGAAAATAAAGGCTGTAATACTCGAGGTGAGACGAAACACGTCCGCCGTCCGCCTCACCCGAGCGATCATCAAAATGTCATTCGTCAGAAACTATGAAGTTTATAGAGCTACAACTTACAGCGCCATTAGAATGAGATAGCATGATTTTTTTCTCTCTCGCACAATTTCGACGAATAATGGCGGATTTCACATGTCCAGACTCTTATTATGCGGGGTCTACAATAGAAGTCGTAGCAGTCGTAGGGTCTTAAGTCGTAGAAAATTGACCAATCACAGTTGAATATGAGAAGAATAATCAACTGTGATTGATCAATTTTCTACGACTTAAGACCCTACGACCACTACTACTTCTCTTGTAGATCCCGCATAAGGCCGGAATCAAACTAGGCATTAAAAATTGAGATTGAAAATTGAAAGATTGAAATTTGACCAATCAAAACAATAGGAGCTAAAATTCCTTTGCCCTCATTGGTCAAATTTCAATCTTCAATCTTCTAACCAATCAGCTTCTTTTTCCATTTCACTCCATTTGCGGGCACTCTATTTGCCGCAGGTGAATTTTCCTCCAGCTGTTTCCTCATTTCCGTGAAATATTCCCAGAGGAAGATTCGATTATCATTAGTTGTCACTATACTGTCATTGTACCGATTGTACGGGTATTTGAGATCTTGAATTCAGGGTTCCGATAGTTAGCTGAGCACTAATTGTCGAAAATGACGACGAACGCGGAAGATTTACAGAAGCTGGAGGAAGAGGCGGTCGCTAGGGGCACGAAGTACGTTGCGAACCTTTTGCAGCGGCCGGGCCAGCTGGAGAAGATTGACATGTACAAACGGCGGATCGCCAGGAAGAAGGCATCCGTCGAGACCATGCTAAAAACCGCGATGCAAAGCCAATTGGACGGAGTCAGGGTCGGCTTCGAGCAGCTGCAGAACTCCTTGGAAGCTATCGCCACTACCAAGGACGACCTGGACCATATTAACCAGCTGTTCAGCTCAGTTCTGAAGCTCAGCTCCAGGCTACAAGCAGTGCAGGAGGAGAATATGCGTTATTCTCAATACGTCATCGCGAAGGAGAACCTGAAGCATATATTTACTGTCCCTGAGAGCGTGGAGAAGACGAAACAGTGGATAAACGAAGGTAAGCTGCTGCACGCGCATCAGAGTCTGATGGATCTCGAAACTTCCAGGGACGAGTTGTTGTATGAGCTTCACAAATTGCCGAATCAATCGCCGGCCGACACGGTTATGCTAAAGGCTTATTTTGAGGACGTGGAAATGCTTTCACAGCTTATGGAGAAGCAAATAAGACTGGTGTTGAGTCGTACTTTAAACACAGTCAGGAAGGAACCTACTGTCATAGTGACACCTTTAAGAATTATAGAGAGGGAGGAAAAAGCAGATCAGTTTGCCATTCAAAGACACAAGCAGAGTGGATTTATGGCGCCAGGTAGACCCAAGAGATGGAAGGAGATGGCGATGAAGGTGCTGGAAAAGTCAGTTGCCAACAGAATCGAGGGGACTCAAGTCGAGGAGAGAGCTGACAACAAAATGTGGCTTGTGAGGTATCTGGAACTTACGAGACTTCTGATCCTTGAGGATTTGAGAGTGGTTAAAACTCTGTGCAAACCTTGCTTTCCACCCTGGTACGATATAGTAAGTACTTTTGTTAAAATGTATCATACGAGTCTATCTCAGCATTTAAAGGACATAATTGCCGGTGGACTGGAAGGAAACGAATATGTTTCTCTATTGGCATGGATTATGAATACTTATACAGGGTCGGAGTTGATGCAACATCCTGAATTAAACATTGATACGTCCGATATAGGCCCGCTGCTTACTCCCGAGATGATAAATGATCTTCAGGAGAAGTACCTGCGAAATATGTGTCAGAATTACGAGGATTGGATGAGAAAAACGTTGGAAACAGAGAAGCTCGATTGGAGGAGCGGTGTCCTGCCTGACAGTAGCACCCAGGAGCTATATTATCACACTGCCGCGCCGGTTATCATATTCCAAATGATTGATCAAAATCTTCAAGTTGCAAAAACCATCAGCTCTGACTTGACGGCGCAAGCCTTGATTCTGTGTATTGAGCAGGTGATCAAATATGGATCTATATATAGACAAGCAATACTAGAATTTAAAACAAAGCATTTCGAGGACAGAAGCCAGGTACCTTACTTCACTCATCATATGATCACGATAGTCAATAACTGCATACAGTTTACCGAGTTGGCGCAGCAGATGAAGCAGCTTTACTGGGTGCCCAATACTACTGGTGACGTCACAGTGAAATTCGAGAGTCTCTTGACGAATTATCAATACCTAAGAAACGAAGCTGCAGCTATTCTATTGCAAGAATCTTTCTTGGATCTGGAGCTGCACTTCCAAGATTTAATCACGCCTAAGTGGCTATCATCGCCCATTCCGGTGGAGACCATCTGCGTCACTTTAGAGGATTACTTTCAGGATTACAATCACCTGAGTCCCAAGAACTTTGAGTATGTCATCACCGAGGCACAGAATCTTATCGCGAAGCGTTACATATCCGCGATGTTACAGAGAAAGATCTCTCTGAAGACCTATGACGAGTGCCTAACGTGCACGTCAAAAATAATGACGGAGGCGGACAAACTGAAGAACTTTTTCGACAGAATCGCGCCAAAGGTCGGGAACTTCAATTCGCCATTTGAGATAATAAAACGCCTCGCTGAAGTGCTGAGGTGCGAGGACGCGGAGATACTCTCTCTCGATTTACACTCGTTGGTCGAGAAGTATCCCGACATGACGGAGGATCATCTCATCAGATTGCTTGGCCTGAGAGGTGACATATCGCGAGCGGAAGCGCGAGGAAAGGTCTCATACATCATGGAGGCTCAACGAAATCGGAAGCCCGTACAATCCATGACAAACAGCATATTCAAGCAGATAGTTATACAGGATAGCTTCCTTGGCTGGAAGCCTTGAGATTGGAAGAATCTGTACGAGGCAAAAATATGGAACACAAATGGTTCTTCTATGTAGCGCCATACTATTTTTGCAAATCAACTGTTTCTTTTATACAACAGCGAATAATATAATATAATGCTGTAATATAAGTATTTTAATTCATCGATTGAATAATTAATCACACTATGTGCAAATGTAACTTTACTCTATAAAAGCTACATTTATGCATAATGCAATCGATCAATAGATGAATTAAAAAACAAATACTTGTACAAATTTGTTGACATTTAATTATAGAATTATATATAATTAATTCTGCGATTTATACATATAAAAACTCAACGCTTTATTTATATGAAATATTTATGAAAGAGTAACCTGATCGAAACTGAATTGTATATTCATAGGTATTATATACATGAATATAATATATCCAATACATGAAATATTTTTTAATTTATAAATGTTACTAATATATATACTTCAGTATTAACAAGTCTCTGCCAGTAAATTTTCTTTTCTGCTAACCTAAAAAACTGTCGTATCCAACATTCATTCCCGTAACAGCTAAGCATTATTCTGAGATCGCATGCAGATATAAATCTGTCAGAAATAATTTCGTGATATTGTTTAATTATTTGTAATTAGATTTCTCGTTTAACACTGTATGCAATAAATTATAAAATTTCAAAGAATTTCATAGAAATATCAAATAGAAATTGTGTTTAATATCACAAACGAATTTTTATGTGTAGATATGCCTATATACTTGTAAATAAATATAAAGAACTTTTTGACTATATTTTTAACCGTCAAAGGCGAATTGATCAGTCAATTCTATTGAGTTATTAATAAATTGAGATAAATGATTGCATTCAATAGAGAATGTTTACTTTTTGTTAAAAGTTTCCTTCGCGCTAATTGGATTATACTTTTAGATCTAGAGGAATAGCCCTATCTCGGCGAAGAGAACTTTTGATCGTTGCAAAACGATCAGTTCAAACAATTGTTTACATTTTAGGACTTCAGGTAAGTAATATTAAGTTTGAAAAACAAGCACGATGGTGTAATGAATCGTTGCATTACGACTTTCTGTGTTTGTGCATAATTAATAAATGGATAATTAAAATGTCAATTTCATAGGAAAATATGACCATAACCTTTTCTCGGTAAAAAATTCTTATATCTCGTATTTAAAAAAATTTTTCAAATTTAAATTTATGAAGATTTCTGAAAAAATACCTTAAACTTCTTCAGATTTCATAAGTTTTTTTCGGAAATTATATAGAATAAGAAATCGTAGAATATTTCAGAATTCACAAGATATATAAAGAATTCCAGAAAAAAATTAAATTTTTTTCAGCACTTTTAAAAAAGGTTCCAATTTGTATAAAAATTTCAAGAAATTTTGTAAAAAGTTATTAAATTATGCAGAAATTCTAAAAAATTCTGAAGTGTATAATATAAAAGTTTCTGAATATATGAAGAATTCAAAAATTGTTATCTATCAAGTTATGATCAGTTTTTAGAAAAAAACGACGAATTATCAATTTTTTTCAGCAGCAGAGACACTGCTAACTAAGGCGAGAGAATATACATTATTGTGTTTGTCTAAATATTTGCAACAAGCAATGAGGGTAACAACATTCTTGGTGTTGCTTATTTGTACGGGAGCAAGAAACGCTGATATAGATCCATTGAAAACAATTATTTGGGGCCCAGGACTGAAACCAGCAGAAGTTACGATGCGTGCAAGATATTTCTTTTTGCAACTCGTCGATTTGCATGGAGGAAAGTTAGTATCAAACAATTTTATATTATAGATTAATAATGAAACAAGAATATTCAAGATTTATGAAAATGACGAACAGTATTTATTTAAAAAATCCCAAGAAGGGATTATTTTTATATAATATTCTGAGATTTACACAATCGCATAATAAAAGCTGAATAAAGAATAATTAGATGAAATGATTTTAGCTTCTAGAAGGCAAATTATATATATATATATATCTACAAATAATATTTCTATAAGTTATTTAATGCATGATGTGTATGATAGTATTATATTGTCTTATATTATATTATATTTTTAGTTTAACAAAATCTCCTGGTGAGAATATAATTACTGGACAAGTATACGGACAATCCTTTAATGGTGCATCGTGCCGTGTATGGACTCAAATCTTTGACTGCAAAGATGGAAGTTTTATTATGCGCTACAAAGTTTTTAATACCTGTTTTAATGTTAAAATTAAAGTGAAAATTAAAGAAAAAGAGTTACTAGTATCCCATTCAAAGATCAAAGGTATAGGTATCTTTGTTTATTGTAGAATTTTATATTATCTAACAAAAACTGTGTTTAGATCCTGTTTATGAGGAAGAATGTTACTGTCCGAATCCATCAATCACTAACTGGTTGGATCATTATCAGTGTCAACAAAATTACACTCAAATACATCGTGATCTATCTCCTTTTTCAAATATTGATTTTGATAAAGTACGTCAAAGCATTATCAAAAGATATGATCGACCAACCAGTGTCAGCATTTGTCATTATATATTGAAATCTAACAGAGTAAATATCATTTTATGTTACCGACTTGTAATTTATGATTTTTTATAAATGTTGACTCTAAATTAAACTAGATTTACAGACAATGTTATGGTCAGTACGTTGGCTTCAAAATATTTATGGATGCTATATTGCTATCACTCGCACGCAAAGTGACGCTGCCAGATATTGAATTCTTCGTAAATTTGGGCGACTGGCCACTTGTTCCTGATTCGGGACCACTTTACCCTATTTTTTCATGGTGCGGATCTGAAAGTACGAAAGATATTGTTATGCCTACATACGATATCACAGAATCATCTCTAGAAGCGATGGGAAGGTATAACATGCCTTAATAATGCTAATAATTTAAGTTATTGTTTTATTTGCAATGATATGCCTAAAAAACAGGGTAATGTTAGACACGCTCTCCGTACAAGGTAATGGACTGCCATGGGAGTACAAGACTGAGCAATTATTTTGGCGTGGACGTGATGCCAGAAGGGAACGCCTTGACTTAATAGATATTTCAAGAAAACATCCGGAACTCTTCAATGTATCCATTACTAATTTTTTCTTCTTTAGGGACGAAATAGATAAATATGGACCTGCACAAAATCATGTATCATTTTTTAATTTTTTTAAGGTAATAAAAGCCGAGTTTTTCTGTAAATAAATAAAACTAACAATAAGACAAGTTTTTAATGAACATTTTCGAAGTTACATATATACTTTTAGAAATAACTACAACATTATTCTAATCTCGTGTCATCTGATGTAAGCACAAAGCATGCCCATAAAATTTGAAACACATTCTGTGATATTATCGAATTTTTTTGGTTCTTCAAGATACATGTTAACTTTGAAATTGTGCTATATACAAGTTTTAAAAAATATAGATAATATGTAACATTAAGTAACGTTTATTATTAGGAAAAAATAACAAAATTTTATTCATATTGGCATTTTTTTTTATATTGATTTTTTTTCATAGTACAAATATCAATTGAATATTGATGGCACAGTAGCAGCTTATCGATTCCCATATTTACTTGCTGGAGATTCTTTGGTGTTTAAGCAAGAATCCAAGTATTATGAATTTTTTTATAAAGATCTTACACCTGGATTACATTATGTACCTGTGAAAAGTGACCTGTCGGACCTTGTCGAAAAGATTATGTGGGCAAAGGAGCATGATGAGGATGGATTGAGAATTGTTAAATCTGCCAGACAATTTACCAGGGATAATTTATTACCACGTGATATATTATGTTACTATACAGTTTTATTTCATGTATGGGAAAAAGTTCTATTTTATATATTTTTCTTGAGTATATATATCTTTGTCAAATAATACAATTTTTTATATTTCAGGAATGGAGTAAACGCTTAAAGAGTAAAGTTGAAGTATTAAATAACATGGAAGAAGTACCACAACCTAGTCATTCTTGTCAGTGTCATTTTCAGAATTCAAACCTTCGAGAGGAATTGTAGTTTTTAACATCTTTTTTAACATTATTTTTTTATGATTTATTTATATAATGAAATTTAACAGATTCACATTGCCATACATGTATCATCTATTATGGGTGTACACAAATGCACAATCTGTTTACTAAGATTTTATAACTAATTGCTTATGTCAAAAATAAAAAGAAACATGAGTCTAAACTTGAAAAACAAGATAGTTGTCTAATATTTAATAATTTTTTCTTTTACAATGCTTGTATTATACAACCTGTTAGCTATTTTTCTATATATATCATTTAATATATTTTTTATTTATTTAATCTAATGTTATGTCGCGAGAATTTGAATAAGATACATCATTTGTACAATTATTAACATCTTTTTCGAAAAATATTTATGGGATAAATACAAGGCGAGATTTGTGATATTCTCTCTTCAATTGTATCGCGAATTCTACTGCAAATAATATTTAATGTGGAAAATTTATATTCACATTCATTTTGGAAATTAAATATTTCCTTATCAATTAAGAGCAATATAAATAAAGAATAAACATTTATATATACTCTTACATGGTATTTGTACCATTGCATATATAGTTACATAATTCTTTGACTTTCAATTTGTTTATGCTTAATAAAAAATTACATATATATTTGTGATAAAAATATAATTTGATGTTTATCATCTTTAATATACGCAAAATAATAAAAGTAAACATAAAAAATTTAATGAAGAAATTTAATGCAATAAGTCTGACAAATATCTATATTATTTTCTACTTTGTAAAAATAAAACAAATTATACAAAAACCTAATAGTGTTCTTATATTCTATAATTTATGCTTTTCGTGTTAGAAGTTTTGCCACAAGAGTTAAAAGCCATTTGGAATATTTTGGCATATTTATTTCACCGAGATCTATATCTAATAATAATAATAATAATAATAATAAAATTTGCTATTCTGACGTAGTATATACGCACATAATGTAAAACAAAATTATACATAAATTATTTATACCACCACATATTGAAAAATATATGTATGTATATAAATGCTGAAGATTAAAAGAATTGTAAATAATGTAGATCCAACTAAGAGTTCTTTTTTATGGAACATCTATAATTTATATATAATTTTGTCCTAAATTTTTTCTTATTATCAATCTAATGCATAAGATGAAATCAAATTAAATTCTTTACACAATTCATTTTTAAATTTAATCTCATTCTTTGTTGAACCTTCTAAAATGTTCATATGAATATTCAAAATGGTAAATCTTCAGATTAGGGACCCCTCCCCCTAATGACCTTGATTTTGACATATGTTGTCAATGTCATGACCCCGAGTGACTTCCAACAAGTTTTAGCCATCACTCGTTATTTGTTACAAAGTTAATAACAAAAAAAGTTCATCAATAAAACCTAACTTTTGGACATAATTATGCTCTGATGAAACAAATTCCCTGCTTTAACAACGCAAAATATTTTATATAATTATATAATTTAACAAAAGAAGTTTAAAAAAGTAACATTTCAAGTCTCATTTCAATACAATTTTTGGACATACGGTATATCTTCTATTAGTGTATACAAAACATAACTTTTCAAACAAAATAAGGTCTATTCCACATCGTCCGTACAATTTATAGAGGTACACACGTTTAGAACTTCTGTTTTATATAACAGAAAAGAGATTATTTTTTAAACTTTTTTGTTAATAACTTTTTAACGAATAACGAGCGACAGCTAAAACTTGTTGGTCACTCGGGGTCATGACAATATATGTCAAGGTCGAGGTCATTGGGGGGGATCTCCTAATCTGAAGATTTATCTTCAAAATACTTAAATATTATGAATATTGTATAATATAGATATTCATAATATCCAAATAAATATTGTAATTTACATTATGAAAGTACGTACTCATACAATAAAATAACTAAAAATGTAAACAAAAATATTTTCAATATCCATAATAATCTAAATTTTATGTAAATTTGGGAGTTATTGATGTATTTATTGTGTGGGTGGCTGATAACCGTAACCTCCATATTGATTAGGTGGAGGTGGTCCTTGTGGTCCAGGTGGAGGAGGCATGTGGCCACCAGGTGGTCGTGGTGGATATTGTGGATATCCTTGCCCTGCAGGTGGTGGAGGATAACTTTGAGGAGGATATTGAGGATGCCCATAGTGTTGTCCCCCTTGTGGTGGATGAGGACTATAAATCTGCAATTCAGAATGCTCTCAATAATTTTCAATATATTAGTAATAAATTTATGTTTTATCTTTTTCCACATGTATTATATATATATATATATATACACACATATTACACAATTGCCATGAAACAATCGAACAATTCAAAACTAATCATCTATGTCAATATAGCCAAGGTACTCGAACAATACCTGTGGTTGTCCTCCTGGAGTCGGTGGAACATATGTCTGCGTAGTAGTCGGCCCATAGGCAGGTTGTTGTTGAGGGCCTGGTGGTGGAGCGGGACCTTGTGGTGGACCAGATGGAGGTTGAAATCCACTCGGAGCTGGACTCTGAGACGGTTGCTGTTGCGTCTGCGGAGCTGTTTGCGACTGTTGCTGAGATTGTTGCGGTGGCTGGTGCGGTGATTGATGCGGTGGTTGGTGGGATGACTGATGAGTTGGTTGGTGAGGTGGCTGATGCGGAGTGTGCGGTGGTTGATGCGGTGACTGAGTGTGCGGTGGCGGTGGATGCGGGGGATGCGACGTCGGATGTGGTGTTTGATGAACGGGATATCCAGAGGAAGCCGGTGGCACCGGGGGTGCATAGCTTCCGCCCTGTGATGTTGGTGGCGGACCGCTATTCGGCGGATATGTCTGCGTCGAGGCAGATGGTGTGCTTGTCGGTTGACTGCTTTGGGCGTAAGTATTGCTGCTCGCAGAGGAGGTGCTAAATGGCGGAGATGTAGAGGCGGGACCGTACTGCGTCGCGCCAGGACCTGGACTTGGTTGGCTAACATAATTAGGCTGCGGACCCGCGTTTTGCTGCGACCCAGGTTGCGGGGGTTGAGTCGCGCTAGTTGTCGGAGGTGGTGGATAATTTTGCGGTGGGACATTGTTCGCGTATGTCTGTGAGGAAGGAGGGGGATAACTTCCGGGTTGTCCAGCAGCGTATGCGTTTTGAGGTGGCGCTTGGGACGGAGGCTGCTGATAATTTGGTTGTGGACTAGGACTGCCATATTGTCCTGGTTGTTGTTGTTGACTACCTGATGAGAAATTCTGTTGTGAGGCATTTGAAGGTGGATAACCTTGCTGATTTGGCGGCGGTGGTCCATATCCTGAAGGTGGCTGAGCTGTGCCCGGTGGTGGATAACCACCTGGTTGTGGACCATAACTGTTTACTGTAGTTGGAGGACCATAATTTGGCTGCGTCGCTGCATTATATCCTTGCTGTTGAGAAGCGTTTGGCGGTCCATATTGGTTTGGTTGACCAGGAGTATATGCAGATCCTTGTGGACCTTGGTAGTTTGAGCCAGGATTCTGACCAGTGTATTGAGCAGGATAACCTTGTTGAGAAGGTTGCTGAGGATAACCTTGTGGACCTCTATATTGCTGTGGACCTGGTGCAGTTGGAGGTCCTATAAATATTAAAAGATTAAAATATTCAATAATCTGTAGAGCTAATAAAGTCATAATTATGCTTCAGATTAAATTTTTTTGACATGTAATTATAATTTAATATAAATTTAAATTAGAATAAGATTTCTCTCAATATATATAGAGAAAATTCAAATTAGAAAATAACATACTATTTATGGTAGGCCCTTGGCCAGGCATCACAGGCCCACGATAACCTTGTGCCATTGGTTGACCTTGATTAAATGTCGTCATTGGCATTGTTGGCTGCGTATTTGGTGGCATTTCTCCTCCAGGACCAGTTGCACCACCTGGACCACTTGGAAGCCCTTGTGGATTCATCATAGCATGTTGAGGACCATTAGGAATACCTTGAGGTAGCTTGAAACCAAAAGATAATTAATTAAATTTTGCTATTCTTTATGAAAATTTTATTCAACATAACAATTTTGTTGAATTGAATGTACTTTATTATGTTCCATGTTGTTTATTCTATTAGATCTGCTACTTACAGGTAATAAAGTCTGAAGATTCTGGTTTACATCAGCGATAGATGCTAGATATACCAAGTTGCGATGCAGCATTTGCTGGTACCTGAAAGTTAAAATTAATAAGTTTATAAATTGACTTAACAAAAGTTATTAAACAATCTTCTTAGATATACACTTGACACTTTATATATATATATATATATATAATTGAAAAATAACTTGGTATGAGATTAAGATTGTCATCTGAATCATAAAAAAAATATTTTCATTCTTACTGCATAATATCACTTCACAAGAAACATTTCTCAATGGAATAAAAAAGGAGACACATAATATACATTGAAATATTAAGATCCAATTGCACCAACATTATTTTGACTTTAAGTAAAGTTTAAAAATCTCTTTCTCTTTTTTAAAGCTGATAGAGGAACAGAAAAGGAGAGTTTAAGCCTTGCTTAAAATTAAAGTAACGTTGGTGTAATCAGACCTAAGAAACATAAAATCATTGCACTGATCACTTACTGTACGCATTCCTGTGCTTTGCCCTTGTTTTGATACTCCTGAATCATTTGTATAAGTTGGCTATTCTCATCGAGCATCTAAAAAAAAAACGTGATAAACACATACATGTACATAGTTATACTTACAACTTTAACCATGTTTCATATCTCAACTTTCAGTCATAAATGGCTCGTAATAGCCATAATTTTTTTTTTTTTGCGAAGCTGCAATCAACTCCTTTACCTTTTGTATCTGGGCAGGATTTGGAGGTGGCCTGCCGCGTTGTGCGAAGGTCACCGACATTTTCGAAGCGACAACTCACGAATCGTCTCAACGTTAAAGAGCTTTCACCGAAACCGGTAATCGAGGAGAGTAATCTTCCGTCACGTCGCGCTATTGTGAAGAGCTACCTGGAAATATCTCAAAGGAGCGCGGTACGTCCATCTTCGTCGTATTTCCCAAATATGTTCCCACGGTGTCCGAAGCACGAGATTATTCGCGCGGGACCACCGGGAATGTCGCAATCGTTTTTTCAAACTCAATCCTCGTGTTATGTACACGCGAGACGTATATAAATATGTATATATATATATATGTATATATGTACGTCTAACCACAAACTAGTCGTGCGTATTGGTGCGTATAACGTATTTTTGCCGTAACTGACGCGTGTGGCAATTATCGTCAATTACCTCGTGAAGTGTATGCAGTTTCGGAGTTAGATAAGACGAGAGATTGGACAGTACACGAGAGAAACAGAAAGCTTAGGAGAGCAACGCCACCAACGGCAGATATCCGAGCTCGCGGCTAATCGACTCTCTTTCGGATATAATGGCTGCGTTCAGCAGAACGTTTGTTTTGCAACTGTTGGAAGTTTCCTTCGCGCTAATTGGATCATACTTTTAGATCTAGAAGAATGGTCCTATCTCAGCAGACAATCATAAAACGGTTGCAAAACTGTTGAGTCTGCTGAACGCAGCCAATGGCTGCGTTCAGCAGAACGTTTATTTTGCAACTGTTGTAAGTTTCCTTCGCGCTGATTGGATCATACTTTTAGATCTAGAAGAATGGTCCTATCTCAGCAGACAATCATAAAACGGTTGCGAAACTGTTGAGTCTGCTGAACGCAACCAATGGCTGCGTTCAGCAGAGAAAGCAGCTTTGCAACTGTTGTAAAATTCTTCAATATGATTGGTTTATACATTTAGATCTATAAGGAATCAAAAGCAAGAATCAATCATATTGAAGAATTTTACAACAGTTGCAAAGCAGCTTTCTTTGCTGAACGCAGCTAATGGCTGCG